GATTGTAAATCTGAGCATCGTTGCCTAGTTCGCCAATTGTGCCCATTGAGCAACAAAAATGTCAAACTGATTTGGTTAACTAAACCATTTTTTTTTATGAAATCATCTGAGGGAGAGAGAGTCCCCCACCTGTGTATATTGATAATTGGCCCTTGTGGCTTGATGTCAACTTGGCTATTTGCATTCAGATACAACAGCAACACACTTCAGTTTACGTTCAGCGCGTGTTCAGTTCCAAAAATACTTCCAAAAAAGTGCTACAGTACCTGTCACATCGAATCTTACGATACGTGCATGGAGTAGTAAATGTAGACGAAAAAAAAACTAATTGCACAGTTTGGTTGGAAATCGCGAGACGAACGTTTTGAGCCTAATTAATCTATGATTGAACATTATTTGCTAAATAAAAACGAAAGTGCTATAGTACCAAAATTCCAACTTTTCCTCCAACTAAACACAGCCTCAGTACTGAGCTCTATAGCTCTCGTTTGAAAAGACTGCTATTTGCATACCAACTTGGCTAGCACCATTGTTTTGCTCCAAGGCCGCAGTGAAAACTGAGCACCAGAGGGAAGCTACGTTTCTTGATTGAGCCAGCATTCTGTGGCTCCAAAGCTGAGCTTCTGTTCTGCACTGGCGGATGAACAGCCTCATTGTAGACGCTTGCTTTTGGAAAATGACATCATTCCTTCTCTTCCAGAGTAGCATTAACGTGAGTTGCAGGTATATAGTTGGGTCTAGGCAGCTTATGTATGTCGGGCGCTGAGGTGATATTGTCCGTTTGAACCTTGATCAACTCCGAAAAAACTTTGGCGAAGGGGCACTCGAGCATAATGTGCGCTGCTGTTTCAGTCCCCTGAGAACTGACTTCGCAAGTACTGTTAGAGGTTATCTTTTTCTTGAACAAGTTTTCTTTGCACTGAATGCGATTGTTGAGAAGGTGCCAAGTGAAGAATTGCACCCGTTGTGCTGCGTGACTTCCCCAAATGAACTTAGCTCGATCGTCTTGTTGCTGCCCTGATTTCAGAAGTTTGTATAGCAGTGCTGCAGAGAAGGTGCCGGTCGTGGTTATGAGCGGGTTCTGTCTAGTATCGTGTGCATCGGCTAACTGAACTTGTTGCAGCAACTCTTGAGCAGTCTGAAGTTCTTCAGTAGCTTGTGGTGATAACCGTGGCACAAGGTGACGAATGCTCCCTGAAGTCGCAACCTGTGCTATGGTCTAAGTCGGCTTCCTGCAGTGTCTGAGAAGCACCAGGAACCTGTCAGCAAGGCAGTCATCACCAAGGTTTACTCTACAGATATTTTTAAATATCGGTGGTCACTGATAAACAGGAATATCGGATATATCGGAATTCTATCGGTGATAGAAAAAAGTTTCGAAAAAAGTTTAGACAAAAAATAGCTCATTTTATTCAGGAAAACACATAGATCATTTATAACGCATTTAAAATAAAAAACTAAATAAAACCATATTATCAATTTGCCCATTCAACGAGGAGGGCAGCGACACAACTGGAGCATGCGAGTGTGTTGCGGCGGTGGCAACTTGAATCTGGAAGAGAAGAGGAGAGAAAAAGAAACATGGATTAAGGTTAGAGCATTGGGTGGGCTTTGGTGTCTATTTAGGTGGACAAATTTTAAAATTCTGAAAATTTCGGGTGATAGAGTAAAAATTTTGGTCCCAACCGATAAACGGGATATCTCGAAAATTTCGCAATTTCGGGTCCAACCGATAAACACGATATCCCAGGCGTCGAACCAGGAGGGTATTGCGTCCATTTCCAAGCTTCACCGTGGTCACCGCTCTGTAAACTGGCAGCAAGGAGTGCAGAGCGTTCCATTGCGACCTGTTGAGCTCGCCCTCCAAAGTGGCAATGGAGGCATGTTCAGGGACCCAGATTGCCCAGGACGAAGTCGAGCTCTCAGTGATAGTCATTATGGATGGCTAGGTCTTTGACTCCAAGGCCTCCAGTGGCGCGTTCCGAGCAGACACACTCCCAGGCGATGAGGCAATGAGCGCCTGAAGCTGGCGATTGGCCGTTCCACAGTAAGGCCCTTCTTCGTCGATCAAGCTATAAGATCACACCTGGCGGCAGTGGAGTTGCTCACATTAGGTACACCAACTGACCGTCGAGCAACGAACTGATGAGCACCGTTCTAGCCATGGCATTTAGCAAAGGACTCAAGGGAAAGGCACGCATGAAAAGAAAAGGATTCGGCCAAGGAAACCGATTCGGTTACTATTCACATGGTTTTTTTCTCCCTCCAATCTTCTACAACCATAGCTTCTTGATCCGAACTGTAAGTAATCAAACGAAATGATTGCGATGAGCTCTATGTATCTAGTCTCTTATCATCAATGCGAGCGATGAAAAAAAATCATTTTTGCCACAAATTAATATTTTGCCACTTTGCGCTTTCTAATATACAAAACATATTTTGGGTGTTACAAATGTTCGCGACATGGACAATGTTATGACACTTAATAATTAGTAGTAGCGAGTGTGCTCCACTTGTTTTGGACTAATGAGACTATAAGCTGTAATTATGTTTGTATGGAGTTTAGTTTGTATTGACTTCATCGCTGCATGTTATATATGTATGATTTTCTTGTCATGATTTATTGGTTATTGAATGTGTGATATATGTGATGGTAGTGTGATATATTAATAATATCAAATATAAAATATTAGATACCAACTTTTATTCAAACGTAATAATAAAGTATATAAAAAAGAGAAAATAAGTGTCGAACCTAATGCTATCACTGTCGGGCCTAGGCTTGACTCGACATTGATATCTTTGTATCACTGCTGGACATAAAGATGGATGTAAAAAAGGCAGAGGAGGTGGTGGTGTGAGAGCTAGCGGTTGTAGATTTTTTTTTAATTACACAGTACAATGCAGACGTTGACAACGCACGCACTCACCCTTATGAATGCACGCATGCAAATCCTACCCTATGAGCATCTTCGAAGACAGGGTCAATAAATTCTTGAAATTGACGAAGTCACCGTAGACGACTGCTGGCTTATTTACTTACCAATTCTGACCGCGATGCTTTATTTACTTACACCCAACATTGATGTGCACCATTGAACTCAACACTTCAACAGGCCCGGAGGAAGTAGAGCTAAACCACGTCGCAGCGGCAGTAGCATCTCAGCAGTCACGGCCTCATGGCCGCGAGCGCGGCGTTCCTGTCCATACTGGTGGCCCATTGGGGTTTCAGTCTGCTAATCAAGCTATGGCAACAAGGGCCGGGGCCCTTCATTCGGCAGTGTCCACAAGAGGCAGCTCTGCCGACGCTGCGGCCTGCGGGAATGGAATTGCTTCACGAGCCCAAATGCCGGGCCGGTCCAAAACCAGAAGCGAAGGAGGCGTGTGAGAAAATTGCTTCACGGAGACATTCAAAATCTCGGAAATATATAAGGGCACCAATGAGTCAAGCATGTTTCCTAACTTTGTGAGTTTTTAATTTATTTATTTTTATAAATTGTCTATTCTCTTCGGAAATTAAAACCCTTTTTGGAGCATTATATAAATTTGATTGTCTTTAGAAACTCAAAAATCAGGGTCTCACAGGCTCCAATTCAACGACTATCCCTCAACGACTGTTTGGTCCTTCACTTCTAATGACAAAGGCAACTTGCGATGTTCTTGCAGCTATTTAAAAAAGGCATACCTCATACCATACAATAAGTAATGAGTTAAATGTATGGGTAGTCCATCAACTTGCGCTCTAATTTCACTTAGGTCCATCAACTCTGAAAGTGGGTTTTTTGGTCTATAATCTTTGTTTCAATTTTTTAACCCACGTGGCACCTCCGGGTCCAGGTGGCACACGCATGCAGGTGCATGCACATGCACGTCGGCGTCTTGGCCAACGGCTAGCAGCAGCAGCAGCCGGCATGTGCGCCCACGCGGCACGGCACAAACGGCAAGACACGCACGCCCGTGGCGCGCAAGTCCACGGCGGCGGCGCCTAAGTGATTGGCGTGGCCCTGCGGGAAGTAGTAGACGGCGGCGCCGATGGGCGGCACGGCGCACAGGGAGCCCACGCATGCCTGCCACAGCTGCGGGTGCACGCCGCGGCCCTCGGGCTTGGCACGGCCAGCGGCGGCCTCCGGCGATGGGGCCGGCGGGGGCATCTGTGCCGCGAACGTGAGCGTCGTCGTCCCGAGCCGCGTGGGCGCGCAGGCTGCAGCAACAGACATGACTGGGACGGCACCAGCAAGACCATCGTGCTCACCGCCATGTTCGATGGCCCCGAGACACCCCATGGCGGCGACACGCTCAGCTTCTTCGGGGTCCACCGCATGGCCGCGCCGGAGTCCCACATCGCCATCATCGGAGGCACCAGCAAGTACGAGCACGCCAAGGGCTTCGCCGCCATCCAGACGCTGCACCCTGGCGACGAGCACACCACCGACGGCGTCGAGACTCTACTCCAGTTCAACGTTCACCTCATTTAATAAGCCGCTCCATTACCATTAGATCGACAATTACCAGTTCTTGTCCTTCCAGAAGTTTCGTGCAATGTTTGTGATTGCAAGTACTGTGCCAGCTTTCGGCCATGTATGTAATGTACTGATAGGTGCTATGATCGCATCAGCATATTGTGAGATTGTACGAGTAAATCAAGGATGTTTTCTGCTATTCTGAGATGGCTACTCCTAAAAGAAATGGCATGATAATATGACATCATCCTACGTAAAATGGAGCTGGATGGGTTTCAAGAACAACATTAGGAAGAGGGACATGTAGACCTCTCACTGTTCGCTGAAAGGCTACCATGTAATTCTATGGCGAACTTTATGTATCGAAGAAACCGTAACCAAAGAACAGATGCCCTGTCACAAAAAATAACTCGCCCTGGAGGAAGAAACTTTTGGCAATTAGTCCTTCATCTGAGCTCTGTCAAGGGCTTCAAGGCACCAAAAAGAGCTCTTTCAGTATGATACAGTATGCTGAGACTCGTAGCTTGTGCTCCTCAATTCTCATCCATGATGCGCTTCTGGAAGTCCGAGACCATACGCGGCGTTGACGAAGGGGATGTTCTTGTTGCCGCCGTTGACGGGGTTGCCGTTGTTCTGGACGACGGCGGAGGACGTGCCGCCGAGGCCCGCGACGTAGGGCACGTTGTTGCTGTTGATGAGGTTGCTGGCGCCCTGCGGCAGCGGCATCGCGCCCTGGATCGGGAAGATGTTGGTGTTGGGGCACGCGAACGGGAGCTGCCCGTTGGCCGCCGCGCTCGCCACCACGCCGGTCACGATGCGCCCCGACGGCTGCGAGCCGTCGAGGATGTCGTGCATGAAGAACGTCAGCGGGTGGTCACCCACGCCCGCGCCGGCGGCTCCTGCGTTGCCCGTCGCGGCGGCACCAGCACTCGCTGCCGTCGGTGGTGTGCTCGTCGCCAGGGTGCAGCGTCTGGATGGCGGCGAAGCCCTTGGCGTGCTCGTACTTGCCGGTGCCTCCGATGATGGCTATGTGGGACTCCGGCGAGGCCATGCGGTGGACCCCGAAGAAGCTGAGCGTGTCGCCGCCATGCGGTGCCTCGGGGCCCTCGAACATGGCGGTGAGCACAATGGTCTTGCTGGTGCCGTCCTGCGAGCTGGCGACGTAGAAGCCCTGCGCCCTGCCGATGACCCAGTCATGTCTGTTGCTGCAGTCTGCGCGCCCACGCGGCTCGGGACGACGACGCTCACGTTCGCGGCGCAGATGCCCCCGCCGGCCCCATCGCCGGAGGCCGCCGCTGGCCGTGCCAAGCCCGAGGGGCGCGGCGTGCATCCGCAGCTGTGGCAGGCGTGCGCGGGCTCCCTGTGCGCCGTGCCGCCCGTTGGCGCTGCCGTCTACTACTTCCCGCAGGGCCACGGCGATCACGCAGGCGCCGCCGCCGTGGACCTGCGAGCCGCGGGCGTGTGCGTCTCGCCTTTCGTGCCGTGCCGCGTGGACGCGCATGCCGGCTGCTACTGTTGCTGGCCATTCGCCAAGACGCCGACGTGCCAGCGTGGGCTGCCGGACTGGGCTGCCCCTGCGCCGGCTGCTGCTGCTGCTGGCCGTTCGCCAAGACGCCGACGTGCATGTGCATGCACCTGCATGCGTGTGCCACCTGGACCTGGAGGTGCCACGTGGGTTAAAAAATTGAAACAAATGGAGTATAGGTTAGAAATGCGTCATTAATAAATATTATGGACCCAAAAACCCACTTTCAGAGTTGGACCTAAATGAAACTAAAGCACAAGTTGATGAACCATCCATGCATTTAACTCAAAGTAATGATACATTGAGACACAGATCCAGGCCCAAAACTATACATGATTTGGTCCTATTATGATGACGACGAGACGACGACGTCAAACACCATTTGTATCATCTTCCTCCCGAGATGCCAGATATTGTACCACTGCTTATCTTTGATGAAGGGTATGACAGTACGTATGGGTCAAACCCTTCATCCTGCATTAGAGAGAGCAGGCTGAAGCTCATGTCTGTAAGCGTCAACTCTGGGAGTGGCAGGTCTCCGTCAAGGTACCGCACCACTTCTTGCATATTAGGCGTTACATTGGTAAATGGGTGTGAGCATAATAGCCCTAGCTTCAGTACCAGGCATGCTTCTTCGACATTATAATCACCATGTAATTTGCTGTCGACCGTATCAGCTAGTGATCCTTTGTGCCAATGCTCAAGTACCCAGTCAACAAGCACCACTTGATTATTATCCCTTATGTTGTTGTTCACTGGCCTTTTCGCGCAGGTAACCTCAAGAAGGAATGCACCAAAGGCAAACACATCTGTGAGTGGGGATGCCCTGCCCGTGCTGACCAATTCAGGGGCGAGGTAACCCATGGTACCAACAACATGCGTGGTCTGTAGATCGGTGCCGTGGTCGTACAATCTTGCAAGGCCAAAGTCACCTAGGTGTCCGTTCATAATTTCACTGTCAAGAAGCACGTTACTCGCCTTGATATCACGGTGGACGACAACTTTCTCCCACTTCTCGTGGAGGTAGAGAAGGCCCGTAGCAATGCCTTTGATGATCCGAAACCTCTGAGCCCAACTCACTGTTATCTTGTCCACATCGGAGTATAGATACTTATCAAGACTGCCATTTGACATGTAGGCATATACTAGAAGTAGTTCACCTTTTCACCTGCAATTGCCAAGCAACTGAACAAGGTTACGGTGTCGAATGCGGCCGATGCTGACAACTTCAGCAATGAACTCCTTCATACCCTGCCTTGATTCATGGTAAACCTTCTTCACAGCAACTTCCAGTTTCGATGACGGAAGCACTCCTTTGTATACCTCCCCGAATCCTCCAGCACCTAGCAGGTTCTTGCTCTTGAATCCTTCGGTAGCATGATACAAATCCTTGTACGAGAAACGGTGTGGCTTGAATTCAACTTCCTAATCTTCTTTGAGCTCAGCATATCGCCGTTGCCTCCTCACCAGTGAAATGATGATGGCACCCACAACGACCATGAATGTCTCTGATGCTATTGGCAGGATAATTTCCAGAAGAATTGATTGAGGTTTCGGGCCCTGCGGACGTAGCTTAGGCAGTTTGGTGATGTCGATCACCGGAGCAGGTTTGTTCATGCCGAAGCTCCAGCCAAGAACGTAGTGTCGTGCGTCAACTGAGCCGGTTGCTGATGAGAAGCCGATATATGATGACTTGTGTAGAACTGCTGAGAGGTCCAAATGGGCTGAGATGAGTGGCTTCTTCGGTTTCGCCATTTGGAGTGGAGCCATGGTAACATTGATTTTCTTGGCTTCTCCGTTGTAGTCTACCCAAACTTGCATGGCATCACCACTGACAAGACTCATGTTTTGGAAGCTACTATTCCTATCATCAAAGTAGCCCGCAGGGTAGGACTGTATAGAGTGGAGATCGTTGATGTCGATGCCAACATGGTTGGCGTTGATGTCTTGGAACTCGATATTTAGGGCGGTGTCTAGTTCAATGGCCAAGATATGGTTGCTCAAGCTGCCTCTCTTATCGGAGTTCATGAATCCTAGGTATTGGCTGGACATTGCATCTGAGAAGTTTGTGCTTGGAGCTATGATAAAGGCCAGGCCATGTAGGCACATGATTTGGTAGGTAGAAAGAATGCACTCTATCATTGTGTGAACCACGGAAGTGCAATGGAGTTGGGTGGAAGGCATGGCCTTTGGAATCAAGTGTACCGTTGGTTAACTCAAGGAGTCCGTTTGACGTCACTGTGGCAGTGTCGTCCAAGCTGATATTAGTGCCTGTAAAGCCAAGGTACAGGAGTTGGTTATCAGGAGTTGATGCAGTGAAGAGTGCCGGTTCATGGCCAATGAAAAGGAGGAGGCAGAGTAGGAAAAATTTCAGGTGAGATGTGAGTGGGCTGCAAGGCTCAAGCACTTCATAGGCCATGCTGTTTCGTGCTTGTCCATAGCTAAGCTAGCAGAGTACAAAGCTATTTAAACTGATTCGCATTGAGGCCAAGTGGCTTCGGTGCCATGTGTCGTCCACACACGTCATTGTCTGACGTAGTTAACACTTCAAACCAAGAAAGACATTTTTTTTTTGTTTTCAATTTAAATAATCCATAAGTTCCAGCTTCAGACCTCGTAGCTACCACAAGAAGAATTTACTGTTTTCTTGGAAAAAATTACACAAAACCAGGATATAAATTAGGATATCATTTTTTTCCATCAATACAAGATGTACCGTGGAATTAGTATTTGGATCGTGACACTTGAATATGTGATCTATAATGATTGCCTAGCATAAAAGGAACAAGACTATCAAACTACATGTAAACATACGGTGCTTTATTTAGATTGCCTGTAGCCACCGCAAATGAGTTCCTCAAAGTCGTTCTCCTGATCAATTGGGTCTTGCCACCTTTATTTACTGGATATCATATTAATAAAATCCTTGTAAATAAAAAAATTGCTCATACAACAAAGCACCTTTTTTAAACTCTAGCATGCTAAAACTATTAGGAATATTGTTTACATTGCTACTAGGTTAACCTCACCGAGGTCTACTACTCACATGCTTGGAGGCTGGCTCACAGGCATTGGGAGGGAGAATAAAAAATAGTTTTTTGTTGGGGCTGCTGCCATTATTTGATATATGTTGATATTTCTTAACGTCTACAGATATTAATCCGCAAGCGTACGGAATTACCGTTATAGCTTTCACCCGGAAGTATTCAGTGTATCATATTTCTACAGGGAACAGAGGTATTTCTTCTAACTAATTTGTCTAAGGACAATACAAGGATAGCTGGTAAGGGTAGAGAAGAATTCCTAAGGCTTAGGGTCTAAGGATAGATAAACTCTACTTATACTTGCTTACTTCGGGCACCGGGTTTCACCTGGTCTGCCAGGCGATGCCGGCCTCCAGTTCTACGCCATACTCGAATGTGGAGGATTACAAGGGACGGACATAGCTGTCACCATCTGTCGCCTACCCCTCAACCGGAGTGTACGAGGTAAACGAAGATAGCCTCTAGCCTAGACACCACGTCTACGCTATTGACTACTACTCTAACGTCAGCTAGGAACATCTGTCTTTATCAGGAGTCCTCTACTAGAGCATCCGCTACGGGGACGGACGACGAACCCATAAACAAGTAAGAGTATAGCTTAACTACTCAAAGACTTTATACTAAAAGAATCATGAATATTCACTTAGCGGGAAATCCCGTTGAGGCACATGCATTCGTCGAGGTGCAAGGCGGGGAGACACCAACAAGCCCGGCTCTTCCCCATACTCTTCCCACACATCTCTCCCTATTTCTCTTCTAGAGCTAGCAAGGGCCTAAGCCTATGGAGTGATGCTCTTGCTCTTGCTCTTTGATGCTCTTGTGCTCTCTAGTGTGTTGTTCAAATGTGGAGCTCTAGCCCTCTCTTTATAGTAGCTATAGGTCGGTTTCAGTGGAGATAAATATGGAAACCTCCCGAACTGACCCCTAGGGGCATTGATTGCACCGCCTGTGCAAGGTGGGGCTGAGCGGAGCTAGGGGCGGTGCGCCCGCACCCCTGGTGCGGCCGCACTAGGCCTGGCCCGCTTCAGCACCGCCTTCGCACTGTGGGCTGCTGGCTGGGTCTGGATCGCTCCCACGTCGGTGCTTGGCCCAATTTTGATGTGTAGATAGGTCGTCTTTCTTTATTCCATTGCACATTTCTACTTTATGCTTCCTGGTTTGCACCTTTTGATGTGTTTTCCAATGTATTCCATGTGTATGTCCTGAAAATGATCAACTCACCAAAACTTATGGAATATGTTAGTGAGAAACCCTATTTACTAAGTTTGGTGTTTTGTTTGGATGGTTTTTATATAATCGTTGGTGGTAAAAATGTGAGTTAAGGACCGCCGACGGTGTATACATGATTACATTGTTCCTAGAAAACAAAAATATTTCTTTTATGCAGACTATTTTTAGAGGAGCATATTGGTTGAGGGGGCGCTACAATAGCATGAAGATAAAAGGGAGAATTTTCGAAATGCAAGCAAAGCATTGAAGTTGTCACTTTAGATGTGTTTGTCAAGAAAGGATGACAAGTAAACATAGACTTTGTACATGATTTCCTCTTATTTATGTGCGGTCTTAGGGCTCGGAAAATTTTCATTTTCTAAAAAAAATGGTCGCAAGGCATGGGCCCTTTGGTGGTGCATGGATGGTGCACGATTTCAGTTGGTATGCTGCCAAATATCAGCTTCTATTTTCCTTGTTTCTTACACTACTAAAGAATTGACCTTCACTGCTGCCCCATCACTGTCGGTTGCTTATGAACCGGCAATGACAGTGTCTTTAGGCCTATCACTGCCGGTTCGTGGCTCGAACCGGCAATGATAGGCCAACCGGCAGTGATATTAGGGTTATGACTACTGGTAACTATCACTGCTGGTTCAAGCAAAAAAAAAAAAAGATCATCACTGCCAGTTGTTGCCGTGAACAAGTAGTGATACTATCATC